AGCTTGTTTAAACATTCCAGTGATTTGCTGGTTCAAGCTTCACAATGAGTGCATTTGCTGCTTTTCTCTGCTTTACGTCATTTTAAACGTAATATCTATAAGCTATTGGACGGAATCACCCTGGACGTTGGGAACTAGTGGTAGGTGCTTCACACAAAATAATGAAACAGTTCAAAATTAATTGATAATAACAATAATATTTTTTTGTTGCAGCCATTTTATGTTGGTTACAACTCATTCCAGGAGATTGGCTCTAAATGTGAACAGTTTACTATCTCACTGAGGCTTAAACATATAATGCCCCTTGCCAGTGGAGACACACATATAGTACTACATTTTCCTCTGCAGGGCTCATGACGCCCTTGACATGTAGGCTATGTGCCTTAAATACTGTGCCGGCTGCCTACTTAAAAGCAGCTCAGCGGCACAAAGAGTGAATGGACCGTTCCAGAGCTGCTCACTATCTATGTGTCAAGTTCTCATTACCTGACGCTTCACTTGTACAAAGCATGATGAAAACACTACACTGGTGTGAGAAGCAGGCTTTGAAGATATCAGAGGGAAGAGGGTGGAGAACGGGAGGCCAGGTTGGAGAGTTGTTGGAACACTTTAGAGTGGAGAATTGGAGTTTTGTTCATTAAAGGAGAGTTGGACAGGACTACTGGTTGTGTTAAGCACAGAGGAGGGCTGAATTAGAAATCAGCTATGCAGGGTGGAAGGTCATTGTCTGCATTGAGGGGAACAGGCGGCCTCTATGTCTGAGGATTAGGCTCACTGTTTGCTTGCCACCAGGCATCTGGTCCTCTCACTGTTTCACAGGATAGCATGCTGCAACATGACCGGAGAGAGCAGGGAGGTTTTACTGCACTGTGAGTTACTTTCTGCCTCTGTAAATTTCTGACACTAAAACTACGGTCACTCATTCTTCCCTCTCTCTTTATGCCTAGCTATTGATGGTCCCAGTTGATGGTTTAGAGTGGAATGCAGTGTAGAGAGAATAGTATTTGAGACCAACTGTCACTGCTTGTCATGTGGACATAGAGGTGAGCGCTGCAGATGGATGTCTGGTTGGATCTTTTCTTTCGTAAACTATTTTAATTTTAATTTGCTATAATAGATCAAAAGTCAGACGTTATTTATCCGTACATTGGATGTCATGTGCTGTATAGCAACGTTTAAGGATAATTCTACTGCATAAATTTATTCGGTCATAATATTTAAATGAGAACTGTTTTTGTACCACAGAGTCTTCCACAGATACTCACCCCGCTGTACACCAACCATTCAAGAGCCTTTGGGGATTTGCATACATTTAGCTGTTTTCATTTGCATCTATAATAGCCTGTTTTCATTTGAATTACAAAAAGAACTCTGATCGTCTTTTTGTTTGTTTGTTTATTTTACGAAAAGCCTCATCAATATATATTGTAGATGTAGATACATTTATTTTCTGCAAACACAATTCATGCTATTATTTGTGTGATATGATTGGGACAGAAACATGACCCTGTATTCAAGAACAATCGGAACTTGAATTGCATGCCAAACAAAAGAGCTCACTTGAGTCATGCAATGCAGATACTTTGTGGTAGATAACGATAATGATGCACCAATAAAGGTTGAGTCCACGCCCCAGAAGATTCTGCTGCAGTGAGGCTGATACAGCAGGGAATCATGCTGACATTCAGCCAAAGCACCCATGTGGTCACTTGGCTGAACGAAATATATATGTACATTTTATATCTCTGTCCAAAATGTTTGGTACATTTGTTGCATGTGGTACTTGTGCTTTTTCTTTTATGACTTTTGACTTGCCCCATCGTGTTGATCTTCTGTAGCAGGGAAGCTGGGGGGGAGGGGGGGTACATAATTGTGTACAGTAGGAATGTCATTCTGAAACTCTGTACAGTGTACATGGTAAGATTTTTGGGCATTTGTCTGCAGCCATTTACAGACTTTATTGTTTTATTATTAAAATTGCTGGTTATCAGCTTGTTCTGTACACAGTGTTATTAGTGCATTAAAGTCTGCCTCACCATCTGGAAAACCTCATAATTGTTGGAATGCTGTTAAGGAGTAACGGAGTAGTGTGGACATGGCCTTAGTCCTTTATATTTAATAGGGGTGGGGGAAAAAATCGATACAGCATAGTATCGCGATATTTTGCGTGGCGATATTGTATCAATACACGGACGCTAAGTATCGATCTTTTAGTATATAAACTATAAAAACAAAATGTACTAGAAAAATCAAATCAATTGCTTTTTCAGTCCACTAGATGGTGCTGAGTTGTTTTCTGGTGAGGTCAGCAGAGGTGCCGGGTCAGCGTGATTGGTAGGAAGTTGATCAAAACAAAGATGTAGACATCGGAGAAAGAAATCAGAAATGCACCATCCGCGTTTAAATCAGACGTCTAGACTTATTTTGAATTTTTTAACAAGGAAGGGAAGAAGGACATGAATATGACACATGGATATGACACCGTTGCGGCATTTTTTCACCTACACAGCCGTGCCCAAGCTCTACAGAGATGTGAAGCTTAAAGTTGTGGAGTCTTTGAGTACAGCAGAAAGAGTTGCATTAACTTGCGATGCGTGGACGTCAAGCGCAGTGGATTCCTATGTGACTATAACAACACAATATCTCAGGGGACTGGTGACTGCTGTCTCTCGTTTTCCAAACTAGAGCAGTACACGTAAGTCACACCGGGGCAAACATTACAGACCTCCTGCTAAATGCAGCACAAGAATGGGGGATTTCCGACAAAAACCTGGTGGTTGTAACAACGCTTCTAACGTGGGCGTTGCCGTTCAGTTAGCGAGATTCCTGCATGTGAAGTGTTTCACTCACCCGCTCAATCTGGCCTCACAACGGGGTTAAATCTGCCAACAGTAGCCAGGCTCATGGGGACAGTGCGGCGCATAACTGGCTCTCTGCCCTTGACGTCCACGCATCGCAAGTTATACTGAGTTATATAACTCATATATCGTACTGATATAAGTTATCGACATGTTTGCATTTAGTTAAGTTGGACTATGTAGTAATACAAACAGTTCAGTTTGTCAGGTGCATGCAACATTTATGACATTGTTGGTCAGTCTGTCTGCTTGACAATCCTATTTTACTGCAATAAAAATGATTGAAGAGAGATGAACAGACTGAAAACTTTATCATATTATTAGATAAAACATCTTGACACAGTTTTCCATTGGGGACATAATTTGAAGTTGAAAAGAGTAATAAATCACAATATATGTTATCGCAATACTCAGAATATCGCAGTATCGTGATAATATCGCAGTATCGTGACCTAAGTATCATGATGATATCGTATCGCGGGACGTCTGGTGATTTCCCCCCCCCCCTAATATTTAACCCAAGTCTGCTGCCTCACAGCAAGATTCTGGGTTCATTCACTGGTGACTCCTAACTTTGTGGAGTGCTCCCCCACACCATAAAGACATGCAATAGCTGTAATCATTTCTAAAATTCAAAGGACATGTAATATTCTGCTTCAATCTATATTTGTTGGCATTTAGCTTTTCAAAAACAAAATTTTCACTGCTGTCAAAATAGATTGCCAGCATGCTCCTGTATTAACGGGGTGGTCTTGCAGCAATCAGCACCATAACTTACATTTATATACAATATACAATTCTGTTTTCTTTTTATTTGTTGATTTTACTAAATTCTTTTAACAAATGCAGTTGCTCTCGATTGTTCGGCCCCTATTGCGGTTGGGTTTCTTCCCCGGGGAAAGCGGGGCAGGCTCGCACCTAACACGGTGGTAACTCCGTCAGAAGTCCGACCTCAGGGACTGTCCCTCTGTATGAGTCAAAAGTGTACCTTCGGCCTTTTATCTCACCCCGTAGCTGAATCGTTAGGATTTAGGAATTATTGTCTTTCTGAGAGTCTTGTATGGCTACGCCCTAGGCCCTCTCAGTAGGATGTAACCCTAACACCCCGTATGAGTAGTTACGTAGAGCGTCTGTACCTTACTACTGCCTATTTTACTTTTCTCACCATTTTTGACTAACACTGCCAAGTCTTCACCCAGGGAACTTACCTTAAGCTCCTCTGGTAGAGTCGCTCGTCACATATGTATCGCATGTTTCCAGGACAGGGGAAGAGGGGTAACTTTATCTAAAAACCAGTCTTCAGTTTGAGTCCCAGTCATTTACGAATGGTAAGGCTGTGTTTTTATTAAAGTTTTCTCAAAACACTTACATAAAACAATTTCAACTCAAGGAAAGTCTATGTGGTGCAAAAGATATTAGTCACTGTAAGCTGTCTTCTGATAGCAGAAATGTCTCACAGGGTCTTCTAGAAAAGAAGAGTAGTCCAGTCTATAAACTGGGAAAAAGCAGCTCTCCTTCTGAGGGTCTTCCAGTCACCCCTAAGGGTGAAGCCTCCGTTCTCTCAGTTTTGCAGCTGCTTTTTATGCTGGTCTGAGGCTGGTACCTCCCTCAGGTTCATGCGTCACTCACACATGAGTCCTCCTGTTTCTGGATCAACAACAGGATGTTTAACCGGTTTGATCCTGTTTGAACAAGATTAATTATATAAGCCTTTTTTTTACATAAAAAGTTATAAAAAGTGTAAAAAGTTATAAAAAGTGTAAACAAGTTGTTGTAATGGTTATACTTTTATGCTTTCATATTTTTCTACAATCTCTGAACAACACCCATTCATACACCGATGGCAGGGTGCCACCTGCCCATGTGCGTAAGAACCACGGCTGCTTTCACAAGTATTGTTCTCGCAAGGAAATTTGAATATGCACATTTTGTTATGGTAGGTGAATTTTATATACAGAACCTATCCTTATTGATATTGAACTGTGAGATGTTCAGTTTGATTATTTGTATGTATAGTACAATTGTTGTAGCACTGACTCAGGTTAAACTGTCTCCACATCAAATGAGTTCATTTTAGTTTGCTGTGTTGGTTTTGGAGAAGTTAACCAACTCCTGAGTCATATAATATCTCTGTTTCCACAGATATCCAGGAGTTCTATGAAGTGACGCTGCTAAACACACAGAAGAGCTGTGAGCAAAAGCTGGAGGAGGTCAACCACATGGCGGACAAGTGGGAGAAGAGTGTTTCTTTACAAAACTCTGAGCTTGCCTGTCCAGTGGAGGAGGTGAGTCCCTGACAGTGTATCAGAGGTAATCCTTACATACCTGGACTGAAGAATACTCTCTATAAGTAGTTTGCCTGCTGAAGCCATACAAAATATGCTGCAGTAAAGCAGGTTCGGGGCTGAGGTGTAGACATTTCTTGCAGACAGCATCAGCAATAACAGCAGCAAAGCATGAATCAGCAGACATGCTGGATATGAGGTCCAAAGCCTTTAAATAGATCGCCATGTCACTGGAGGGAGAAGTGCTGTTTGTGCTTCTCTGTAAGGCTAACAGCATAATGTGATGCTTGACATTCAGTGTTCTGTCAGAAGTGGCTTGAGTAAAGCAATTTAAATCATAGGCTCATCAGTCATGAAGCTATACATAAAGATGCCCATTTGAATATTAATGAGTAAAACTGATTATTTTGAAATGACTGTAACTCCTCATTACTTTCAGTTCAGAGTTCAGATTCTCATAAGTTACATACTACAGGTGCGGAGTGGGAAAGAAGGGTACACAGGGAGGGTCTAATGAAAGACACTATTGAGTTGCATTATGGGAAATGTAGCATCCCATGTTTTTGGAGCTTAGATTATCTGATTTATCTGTAGAGCGCGATTATGCTGCTGAAATTGAAATAGTATACAAGAGAAGACTTCAGCATTTCACACATTGCAAATGATTTACACTGTACAGGCACAGACGGAGAACTGTGACTAACTGTACAGGTTCTGTACATCAGCTGAATCTATTTACATTTTAAAAGAACAAAGGTGCTCTTTGTTAGAAATGTGTCCAAATTAAGAGAGAGAGAGAGAGAGAGAGAGAGAGAGAGAGAGAGTTGATGTATGCTCACACTGTGACATTCTAATTAAGGAGAATGAATAGAGGCTGCTGAGTGGTTGAGGGCTGAAAAAGCATGAAAGATGAATCAAAATGTAGCTTTGCCTCCAAGAATTACCAAGAAAAAATGAGTGGTCTCTAAAATGTGGTTCTTAATGCCTCTTATTCTTAAATGACTAGATTGATTTCATATAGATAGCGAACGCTCTACTGGTTTTGGTCTTGTGGGTGACAGACAGCCTAACAGATCAGCACTACAACAATGGAACAGCATTTTACACCAACCTCATTCTTCTGAATCTCAATCATCAGCAAGTCAAGCTTTGGTGTCAGTCCTTCATAATTATACATTTAGACAGCAAAAATAAAATGCAAGAACAGGTAGATATGGTTGAGTGATAGTAAACCAATACTATCAATACTAACTAAGTTAGTAACACACCAGACGTGTGACTAACAGCATGTTTGACCTGGAATGGGACCAACCAGCTTGGTAATCCACTAGTAATTCTATTTGTCAACAGTCATATGTCATACCTTCCATTTTTCTGCAACAACAGTAAAGAATTGGTTATTGTGACGTAAACAGATCATGGTTACAGGGTCTTTCAAAATAGCCCCTCTGTAACAGCAGGAGCTGCTGAGCCACTTTGATGAGGTCATTCAGTAGTACCAGGATAGGGACAAGTGAAGGGGATTAGAAGAGTTCTCAGAGGCTGATGACCCCACCATGAGGTCACCAGTCCACTGCTGTTCTATTCCCTGCTCTGTAACCACAATCAGCCCTCTGAAGATTACGCAAACATCCTGTCAAATAATGAGATGGCAGGTGGCCCCATCCAAATGAATTAACAGGGTCCACATGGGTTAGTCAGATATATAAACAACTAATAGATACATGTTATATGCAGACTGTAAGCACCAAAATAATCAAGAGTGTAGTTCAATAAAGCAAAATATAAATATTATTTTCAAGACTTGACATGCAACATATTCAATAACTTCTCAGTAAGTAGTTTTGACTCTTGGCGTATGCAATGCTACATAAACATAATTAGTTGCTTTATGAAAAAAGAAGAGATGATTATTTTTTCGTAGTTGTACTTTTGAATAAGAGAGGCACTGCATCATCTGGGGTGAATGTTTGTGGACATCATTACACCTCCTAACGGCCACATGGTGGCAGACACAGTAGCCCAGTCTTCAGTTTATGGTTTTAGGGGTTGAGATGCCAACCCTAAACCGCAACATCTCAGATTCAAATCCTGCTTTGGACCTTAATTCATCTCTTCCCATCATTTCCTGACATCTCTCCAGAAGTATACAATGTCCAAAAGACAATAAAAACTTGAATTATTGAGTGAGCAATCCATGAGGTATTTTGCATTTAAATGTTGTTTAATGTAATGTTAAGTTGTATATTTGATATTCTATTCTGACTAGTTTGGTGGACTTATCTTACCAGCAGATCGTGCAGGTTTATCTGTAATAACATGCTGCATGAAGAGTTGAATGGCTAACGCACATTATACAGTATAAACTACATTGATGTAGGGCTGGGCGGTATGACCAAAAATGCATATCACGGTATTTTGTAAGATTCTGGCGGTTTCACAGTATATCACGGTATTTTTTTTTCCGCGTTAAAGCATTAATTAATTAACGCCGAAAAGAACCTGCCGGTCAACCGGCCAGCGAGCGGTAAACAGCTGTTTGTGTGGCATGTCTTCCGTTCTGTTACTTCCTGTTTCCTTCACCTACATTCCCCTGGGTCCTCAGTCCCTCCATGTACAGCTTCTTATCACCCTCTATGTACCAACGTACATTTATAACAAATACCACACATATTACGGTAATCAGCATTGCATATGTTTCTGACCAAAATACCTTTTGTTGTTCAGTCTGTGTTCATCCTGCATTGCTCATTTCTGTTCTTTAATGTAACGTTACTGGCGTGAAAGAGCCTCTCCCAGCTGTTAGCAGACTGTTGTTAGCGAGCTATACGCAGCATGCAGTTTGGCGGGGAAATTTTATAAATGTACAATTATTAGTGTTACAAATTGTTTATGTGTCACAAACTGGTTGAACCGGTATACCGCCCAGCCCTACATTGATGTCAATGTTATTATTTCACTCCTAGGATTGAGCAGGGCTGAGTTATTTGTCATCTTAATATACATTTTGTATTTGTTAAATTGAATAAATAAAGAAAACAGTGGTATTTGAAGTCAGAGGCTTCTATAGCTTTGGGTTTAAAGCTTGCTGCTATAAACAGAAGAAGCCTGCGTGTACTAAGGGTTTGTAGTGTGTCATCGTGTGCTAGGGATTTATTTCTGGTTGCCACGGGCACATGTAGGCTTACGCTATCCAAGCTTCTAATTAAAGACTTACCAGAGCAGGAGACAGACCAAGCAGCCAATAATGACTCCATCTACCTCTCACTGCCAAATCTTGCATGACCCTTACAACTACATGCTCCTTTTGTTTTGCATTTGAAGTAAATGTGATGTACATTTTTTTTCATATACAGTGGGTACGGAAAGTACTCAGACCCCTTTAAATTTTTCACTCTTTGTTTCATTGCAGCCATTTGCTAAAATCAAAAAAGTTCATTTCATTTCTCATTAATGCAGTTCCGTCGACCTCATGATTCTCATTTGCTCTGACATGCACTGTGAGCTGTAAGGTCTTATATAGACAGGTGTGTGCCTTTCCTAATCAAATCCAATCAGTTTAATTAAAGACAGCTGGACTCCAATGAAGGAGTAGAACCATCTCAAGGAGGATCAGAAGAAATGGACAGCATGTGAGTTAAATATGAGTGTCACAGCAAAGGGTCTGAATACTTATGACCATGTGATATTTCAGTTTTTCTTTTTTCATAAATTTGCAAAAATTTCTACATTTCTGTTTTTTTCTGTCAAGATGGGGTGCTGAGTGTACATTAATGACAAATAAAATGAACTTTTTTGATTTTAGCAAATGGCTGCAATGAAACAGAGTGAAAAATTTAAAGGGGTCTGAATACTTTCCGTACCCACTGTACATTAGATTTATTTACCATATGCAGTCAGAGCATTTGACATATTAGACTATATTATACAGTGTTTTTCTTTGCATTTGTAAATGTAAGGTAGGTAGCTCTCTTCATGTCCCAACTCATATTCAGGGTTAAATACAGTCTCTCATACAGTGAATTAGGCCTATCACAATGCATTCAGGCTATAAATACTCCTTCCCTGAAGACTGGTCCATTGTTTACCTGATCTATTGGTTGTTCCTCTGGTCAGTGTGTTTCAGTTGGACAGTGGTGGTGTAGAGTTACCTATGCACCTGTTTGATGTCTCCAGCAGAGGGAGCAGAGCAGCTCACAACCCAGCGGGATGGAGAAGAGAGAGATCGGTGCCAAGATGTCGGAGGTGAGTTCTCTCTGGAAGCCATGCTTTCCTTCTGTGTGTACAGAGTGTGTGTGTGTGTCTCCATTTAGCTTTGTGGGGTCATTTACATTCTTTTACACCAGGTCACCAAATGTGTTTCTCATTACCAGCATCCATTTCATTCTGTGGTCTTATTTTTTGATTTCACCTCATCATCACTCATGGCATGGTGGAACACCGCAGTGACATGAGCTGAACTTCTACTGTGTGTTGGTGAGCAGTCTCGGTAAGATGAGAGTTCATCTTTGCTCCTATTTGCTTTGAAGAAGTAGAGGATATTTTTTTCATATGGATATTCAAAAGATTCTGTGCAAGTTAGGTTTGCTGTCGTTGGGAATCTTACATGCAAACCGCTCAAAACAGGCAGATCTGTTTTCAGAGTGCAGCTTGTCAAGCAATGAAGCAGTAGTGGCGTCTCAAACTACAGATCTATATTTTAGAAGAAATCTTCACCTTGCACTTTGTGCATTGTTTGTTGTGGTAAGTTACTGATTACTTGAGAGCCCCTGTTAAGTCAATACGTTGAAGTACTTGCTGCTGTATGTATTTCTTATGTTTTCTGTAACTCTGTGTGCCGTTCAGAAGATCAGAAAGTGAGAAACATCTGTAGAAAAGTTGACAATACGTTTCATTTTAGTGAAGAAAACAGGATTGAAATAAAAAGGAGCCAGTGCAGACATTTGAGCTGCCATGTATGCTTCCTAGAATGAATAGAGTTCATCAGTGATTCATCTGCATGAAGCCCTTATTTCATTTTGATCTGGTTAGACTGGAGTGAAATCTGAGAACAGACCTGAAAATGACTTGTGAGGAGAATGTGCTGGGGTCAGGTACAGGCCAGCTTCAAAGTCAAGTTGTACAGCAAATCCTTCAAGTAGCACTGCCATTCACATAAACAGACAAATCCAAATGTATCACACCTAGTCTGTATGAGCGACAGCCCGAACAAAGGAGGTTAAAGCATTCCTCCCCTCTAATGCAATAAGTGGAAAGTGCCTGAGCCGCATCACCTGGAAAGATTAGCCCTGCTGCTCCGGCAGAGGGAGTCTGAAACGCTGAGTGTGTTCAGTGAGAGCGACGGGACATCAGGAGTGTAGGGCTGCTGCTTCGTCCACAAATGAAAGCAGTAATCAAGATCAAATTCTGCAACACACCTCTTCACCAGGATGGCTCCAGCCAACAGGTACCGGGGCAGTTTAGTTCAGAGGCTTAAAGTCTCTAGGGAGAAACGGGTTGGACATCGGAGTGGCTTAGTTTACCTGCGAGTTACTGTCAGACGGGGCAGGTTACTGATTCTTAATATACAGCGCTAAGAGACTGTGATAGAGATTTTCAACAAAAACATGTGGCGCTGTAATATCTCACATGGTAGTGTGCTGTACTTGCAGGTTGGATATATGCATCCTGCATATGAAGAGTATTAAAGTTAAAGTCTTTTGATTCTCTTCATTGAGAGCTGCATTTGAAGCATTTTTCAAACAGTCTGAGTTGCTAAAGGACAGACAAAGTTCCTTCAAACTGTGGTTTAATAAATCCTTTCTTTTATGAAGTCCTTTTATCTAGTAAAAAGTCAAAAAGGAAGTTCAATCCTGTTCAACTGAATACATACCTGCAAACTTGTCACTTTTCGGTGAAATTCACCGTTTTGAATCAAAAATATGTCATCCATGTGAATCGTGTAGATCCGTAGAGTTTTTTGTTTGGGGGGGGGTCAACTGGCCAGCCAGCGTTTCTCAGATTGGAGTGAGACGAGGAGAAAAGGTGATGTCGTGATCTTCGCAATAGAACATCTTTGATGTGACGAGTCTTGGCCAATCAGCGTTAAGATGTCTACAGCGTCTTTCCCTCCGTTAAAGTTTAAGTTACGTTATGTTCCGTTACCGTTCATACTTGCTGGGTTAAGTTAACGTCCACTGCATGCGAAACTTTGTCGACCGTTAACGTTCGTCATTATCACGATTTAGGAGGAAAAAACGTAACGTGATGAAACATGAAGCCCCCGTGTTGCGGTTCAGTTCACGCGGTCACTCATTAACTTTAAACCAGAACACCGGCGCATCTGATTGCAGGTTGTTTTTTTTTAACTCAAAGTAGAATGAGGCGATTTTGTGGTCATAATAACTTGAAACTGTGAGTGGAGCTGGGTCTGGATAAAGGTGGAGGTCTAAACAGACGTGAGTACAGCTTCCTGCTGTCACAGTGTTTTAAATACAGTGATAAGGCAGGGCATGCTAAATGCAGCCTCTGCTCCAAGGAGATGAACTACAGCAACAAGGGCTCACATGCCCTCTCATCACACTGTTCACTGTGATGACCACAGCCAGTATACTAACAGTCCCAACAGTCCCACGTTGCTCTCAAGAACCCTGAAGTAATGAGAGGTTTAAGGAGCCTGTACCTTCATTTCAGCAGGTTGCTAATGCAGAGGTGTGTATAGATCACAGCTATTATTTTACTCTTGATAAACTACCTCAGCCAGAGTAGATTATCATTTTCATTTAAATAACTGGATTGAATGCATATTAATTGCAAATAGAAGATAGGCCACAATTCTACCAGCTGTACAGTAACAGTGGAAGTTAATATGAAACCATACAGTAACAGGGTTCAATGAAAACGAATCACTTTATTTTGTACAGGCGATGGTTCTCTCTACTCTTGCTGTCTTTGTTTTTATATGAAAATGAGACCTCGGTCTCAATTGATTTTGTCTAAATAAAGGATAATAATAATAATATTGATTTAAAAAAAAAAAAAGCTGTTCAACTAGAGCTGAAATACTGATTAAACACTGAATAATAAATTAGTTATTTGCGTAAAGTAAATATTGTCTTATCACTTAATTTTATTCTCAGAGTACACCAGAATGCTACATTTTAAAGCTCATATTTTAAAGCCCCCCCCGACAGGGTTTGGGGCTTGTCACCTTTTTCACATGTCATGAGTTTGCAGGTATGTGAATATATATTTTAATAGTTTATGGAAAATGTGTCTTTCTCTTACATTCCATCAGTAAAGCTTGTGTCAAAGAACCTAAGCACAGCTCTGTTTCATGTTAAATCCTCGAATTCAATAATAACACAGTTTGAGGTGTATTTTATCCCCTTATCCCCACTGCACAGACCTTTTAACAACACATATTTGTTCGTACGTTTACATAATACTGCTGTAACTTTTCTCATGTGTCTGTGAGCATTAGTCAAGATTGAGTTGCATTTGTTTTTGGAAAAACTCCATGCTGCATTTTGCTGTTATATTCCAGTGTCTCCTGAAATAACTGTAGATGAAAATGTACAATTTGCAAGTCTTGATGACCCAGAAGTGGTTCTGTCACTTTGTGATGACAGTACACATCTGGAGACAAGAAGTTGATGCTGTAGTTGTGGGTGGTGGTGAAATGTTCTGCTGGTTTCACTGCGGTAATGTTGAAAAGATGTTTTCCATAATTTCTCTTTCTCGATTTTTGTTGAATTCTGTCATTACTGCTTTCATCAGCAGTTCATTGCAGTCTTTCTGTATCTTTGAGTCATATTTGGTCCATCAACATTATGATAAGAGGGGTATGGTGATGCAGCAACATTGGCCTTTTATGAAAATCAAACATCTGCTGAAAGCTTGTCCAGCTTAGATATGATGGAAGTCATAATTTTTAGTAGAATTCTTAAATGTTTCAAGATTGTTGCCTGTTAATTGGAGGACCTTAAGGTGAATTGTTATTTGTAATTGTTGTTTTTGGCACACAATATTTTCTATTATTTGCTTAAATCCCCATCCAATTATCCTACACACACACACACACACACACACACACACATGCAGTGCCCTCCAGAATCATTGGCACCCTTAGAGAATTTGAGCAAAACAGGCTGTGAAAAAAATTCTTTGCTGTTTATCCTCTTGGTCTTTCACTCAAAATATTCACAAAAATCTTACCTTTTCATTGAAGTAAAATTATTCAAAGAAAAAAAAAAATTAAATTAAATAAATATTTTTCTCCAAAACATGTGTGCCACAATTATTGGCACCTCTAGAAAATCTCATGATTAAAATCTAACTGAAGTGTAATTCCAGTCATATTTTACATTTTTAAATTCACCTGTTTGATTTGGAACTCTTAAGTGGTCAACCATGACTTCCTGTTTCACTGGGGTATAAATATGAGGTGACACAGGCCAAATTCCCTTAGTCATTCATCACCATGGGAAAGACCCGAGAACACAGTGACGATGTGCGACGAAAAGTTGTTGAGCTGCACAAATCAGGAAAAGGATATAAGAACATCTCTAAACAGTTGAAAATACCCATTTCCACGACCAGCGCAATAATTAAGAAGTATAAAGCGACGGGAGATGTTAAGAATCAGCCTGGAAGAGGACGTGTGTGTACATTGACCCCACTCACCGTGAGGAGGATGGTTCGACTGGCAAAAGAATCTCCAAGGATCACAGCTGGAGAACTGCAGGGGTTAGTTGAGTCTTGGGGTCAGAAAGTCTCCAAAACTACCATCAGATGCCACCTACATCAGCACAAGTTGTTTGGGAGGGTTGCCAGAAAAAAGCCTCTGCTGTCAATCAACAACAAACTAAAGCGCCTACAGTTCGCCAAACGTCACTGGGACTTTCAATGGGACCAGGTTATATGGTCAGATGAGACCAAAATAGAGCTTTTTGGCAACAAACATCAAAGGTGGGTTTGGCGTAGACAGAAAGATAGCCACACAGAGAAGCACCTCATACCCACTGTGAAGTATGGTGGCGGATCTTTGATGTTGTGGGGCTGTTTTTCTTCCAAAGGCCCTGGACATCTTGTTAGGATGCATGGTATCATGGACTCCATCAAATACCAGCAGATATTAAATGAAAACCTAACAGCCTCTGCCAGGAAGCTTAAAATGGGCCGTGGTTGGACCTTCCAGCAAGACAATGATCCGAAGCACACCTCAAAATCTACACAAAAATGGTTCACCGACCACAGAATAAAGGTTTTGCCATGGCCATCACAGTCCCCTGACCTAAACCCCATAGAACATCTGTGGGATGAGCTGAAGAGGAGAGTCCACAAGTCGACCTCGGAATCTGAAGGATCTGGAGAGATTCTGCATGGAGGAATGGTCTCAGATCCAGTGCCATGTGTTCACCAACCTCATCACGCATTATAGGAGAAGAGTCAGAGCTGTTATCTTGGCAAAGGGAGGGGTGCCAATAATTGTGGCACATATATTTTTGAGAAAACGATTTGTTTCAGGATAAGAATTTAATGTTTCTTTCAATTATTTTATTTCAGTTAAAGGTTAGATTTTTGTGAATATTTTGAATGAAAGATCACAAGGATAAACAATAAAGACGTTTTTTCACAGCCTGTTTTGCTCATTTTTACTAAAGGGTGCCAATAATTCTGGAGGGCACTGTACATACATTCTTACATTGTCAACAGTGGACTATTGCCCTACTCCAACCAAGTGTGGACTTCTGTTTCTGATCATTTTGATTCAACAAAAATACAAAAGAGAATTTAATTTTAAAGGTTTTTCAAATTCCCAAGAGGGGACTTCCATATGCTGCAGCGGAACTGTACCCATTCTTTCACCTAATGAGTCTTTTTATTTTTTTACCAAGACTTTCTTTGTTTCTTTCATAAATGGATCATTTAATGTTATCAAAATTCAAACATTTCTCTTTAATACAAATATTACAAAAATAATCATGGCCATTCTAGTTGAGAATAATGTCTTAACTTGGCTGAATGCACTAATATCAGAGACTGCAGTATAACTTTATCAAGTCTTAATTATATTATATTCTTGAAGTTGCATTTTAAAGATTGATCACAACAGTTCATATATTTTATTTTCTCTCAGTGTATTCTGCTGCATTATTGTTGGTCATTTGTTGTGACCTGTGTCATCCTGTAGATTATATCTCATTTTGTTCAAACGATTCACCACACACACACACACACACACCTGTTCCTAAAGAAATCTAATAGAAGTCCTTTTTATTGTCATATACATGAAATTTGACTTCTGCATTTGACCCATCCCTGTATATAGGGCCCAGGGGTTCAGTGACACTTCCCAGTCGAGGATCGAACCGTTGACCCTGCGGTTACCAGACAATCCTCTTAACCCAGTGAGCCACGGTTGCCTTAAAGTCCGTGGAAGGCAGTGCTGCCACTGCTCTGCAGATGAAGTTATTATTAAGTTCCAGCAGTCTGCCACAGCAGCTAATAGAGCATGGGAATCGAATTCATTCCGCTGAGCTGACGTTCTCTCTCTCTCTCTCTCTCTCTCTCTCTGAGCTGACGAGAGAGAGAGA